ACACCTTGAATCCCCTCAAATCCTAGCTTTTTCCTACCCCTCATGCTCATAAGTTTATCAGCAAGTCAACAATGACACGATTCCCCGGACAAGATGTTACAAAGTCGTGGTTTGTTGGCAGTTTGATTGGCTTTCTCACTATCACTTTAAGAAAAATTACAGATACATCTTAAGACGATCAGCTCCAAAAATCAGTCATTAACCTTTTGTCTTTCCATTTTATTTGTCTTTCTTACTGTCCTAATGCACCAAACTTTTCCAGCCACTAGACACTCCATGTTAACATCAATGACATTAGTAACAAGGAATAGTTCAGATGCATTAATACAAGAAGAAATGTTCATGTAGCCAAACCCAGCACAGTAACACAAGGCATGAATTTACCCGCTCTAGGAAATAGCTAGCAACACAAGGGAGCATTTCCAATTCACTTCTACGCTTGTATGTGGCCTGAATGGCTACATTTTTCCACAATTCTTCAACTAATGGTGCATATTCCCAAGTAGCAGCTGGGAAAACAGCTTCCAAATTTCCTGCCACCATAGTTTTCAGAAGCCAGTCGGAGAATGCTTTCAGCCTTGGGCAAATAGAATATATGGTTTTTGCATCATCCCCGTCAGTGTTCCCTGCTTTTGATTTCAACCAGAAAATACTTTTCAGAGTAAAACAGCGCATTGCATAAGAAATTATGTTTATATGATCATGTAGACTTAAGCCTTTGAACATGTTTGCACCAATATAGCTAGGCCAAAACAGGTACTGCCCATCAAGCAAATAAAGCATACTTCACAAAGCAAAACAATAGTTAAAGAGTAAATTCTAATACTAAAACCTATACTCCAGCTTTCAAGCCAACCACATTGCCAATGGTCTGTTAAATGCTAGTACTACACTGTTTACGTGACTTATCCTATCATAATCTCCAGAAACACAAGTAATTACAAATTACAAGTAGTAGACAATCATAGAAGTATCTCATATAAAACAATTTTTTTAAAATAAAAAATTGCCTTATCTGCAGCCCTCTCCACGTATCTCCACAAAGGTATAGAATTCATTTAACACTTAACACTATGCTAATGAACAAATTATACAAAATCTTTGTAACTTTCATTACAAAAGACTAAAACATCAACAAATGAATGCATGTATTGAATTTTAAACTTTCAACCAAGAAATCCATGATCAATTAGGCTTGAGGCAGGAAGAAAAACCTGAAGACACTTGTTTCTTAGCATTTGTGCATAATGTCACACTGAGACTTATGTTCAAGCTCCATTCAGAAGCAAACTTGGCCAAGTAGTCTTCATTAAACAACATAATGGCTCAACAGAATGATAAATACAAGAAAATAAGAGAATTCTCTTTATCCAAGGATAAATCAGATTTTAAGTAGATCATAGATTGATCAAATATTGTGAAATATGCCAGAAAAAATGCATTTGACAAATTTGTTGCACTTGATACTGATCAACTTTTATCTTTTTCTAATAAAATCATCTAAATCTGTTAACAAACTATATCAGATTTATAGCATTCGATTAGCTTCAAAATAGCACATAACTCAGAATGATCAGGTAGGAGGAAAAAAAAACCAATTATTCCAAATAACAGCTCATAGTCAAGACCAACAATTAGATCGTACACCTCGAAAGTACCCATCTAAAAATGTGGGCAGCAAGACATGTATTTGAAGAATCTTTTTTAAAAGTGATATTCAATGCATGGTATCTGATCTAGATTTACATTGCCAGTGAATGACTACTAGATACATCATATGCAAGTTCTTCCCCAGAAATCAAGAAATACGAGCACCTAATGCATGAGCATAGATTTTGAAGTGAAAAATGAACAACAGGAAAGAACAAAACAAATTTGTACCTATTTGTCCATATTCATCAAGAGACTGAGCTTTCCTCAATTCACTCAAACTTTCATCTTCAAAACGCTCGCGGCCCTCAAGTAGTATACCAAGGTAACCATACACATTGCTCTGGATTAATAATTTGATGCTCTCACGTTCATCCTCCGAGAAAGGTACATCTTTGTAAAGAATCTTGGCCTAGTACAAAATTTTACACAGATGAGTACAACTGTTTCTCAGGTATCACCAAAGCTTTAGAGGAAAAAGCCCAATGTTTTCTTGATTGGTAAAATGTCATTAAACCACTAAAATAGTTGCAACCCTTTCCCAAAAGTTGGAACTTCTACTTAAAAAAGTTAGAACCCTTCCCCCCAAGAGTTGGAACCTCTACCCAAAAAAGTTGGAACCCCTCCCCTCAAGAGTTAGAACCTCTACCCAAAAAAGTTGAAACCCCTCCCCCCAAAAGTTGAAAACCCTACCAAAAAAAATTGAAATCTCTACCCAAAAAAGTTGGAACCCTTTTCCCCAAAAGTTAGAACCCCTACCCAAAAAAGTTAGAACTCCTCCCCCAAAAAGTTAGATTCCCTCTCCCCAATAGTTAGAACCTTTACCCAAAAAAGTTGGAACTCCTACCCAAAAATGTTGAAACCCCTCCCCCAAGAGTTGGAATCCCTACCCAAAAATGTTAGAACCCCTAACCAAAAAAGTTGAAACCCCACCCCCAAAAAGTTGAAACTTCTGCCCAAAAAAGTTAGAACCCCTCTCCCAAGAGCCGGAACCTCTACCCAAAAAAATTGAAACCCCTCCCCATAATAGTTGGAACCCTTACCCAAAAAAATTAGAACCTCTATTTAAAAAAGTTGGAATCCTTCCCCCCAAAAGTTGCAACTTCTACCCAAAAAAGTTAAAACTCTTCCCCAAAAAAGTTGGAACCCCTTCCTCAAAAAGTTGGAACTCGTTCCTTCAAAAGTTGGAACTTCTTCCCAAAAAAGTTAGAACCCATCCCCCAAGAGTTGGAATCCCTACCCAAAAAAATTAGAACTCCTACCCAATAAAGTTAGAACCTCTACCCAAAAAAGTTATAACTCAATTAAAAAAATTGAAACATGAGCAAAAAATATAAACTAATGCATAAAAGTTTAAACTGTATTCCAAAAAGTTTGAACCACCCCAAAAAAATATAATTCAATCCTAAAAAATTAAACCTCATACCAAAAGCTTATAACTCAATCCAAAATAGTTGAAATCTGACCAAAACAGTTGTAATCTAGTTAATCCGAGTCACCCCAAAAAATTGGAATCCAATCCAAAAAAATTATAACCCTCACCTAAATAGTTGGAAGCATTATTTACAATTCTTTTATTTCCAATGATTTTAATTATTTGATTTTATTCATTATTTATTTGTTGTTAATAAAAATGGGACTATTTAAAAAATATTGAATATTTTTGGATAGTAGGATTTTTTTGATTTATCTAATCCGAGTCACCCCAAAAAATTGGAACCTAATCCAAAAAATGTTATAACCTTGACCCAAATAGTTGGAAGTATTATTTACAATTCTTTTAATTATTTGATTTTATTCATTATTTATTTGTTGTTAATAAAAAAATGGGACTATTTAAAAAATATTGAATATTTCTGAACAGTAGAATTTTTTTGATTATTTAAAGGATAAAAGTGTGATAGTTAAGGGATAAAAATGTGATAGTTAAGTGATAAAAGAGATAAAAGTGTGATATTAATCCCTGATCGGTCTCCCATTTATTTGGCCGGTCCTAATAAATTACACTTACACCTCGCATATTACAATATATTGTTTTTTTTATTTTCTAAGCGAATATTGTGGTCCATAAATCACAAAAACCTTATCTTCACCCTCCACCCACTTTTCTGCCTAAACGACTGGTGACTGCTCTTGCCTTCCCTCCATCTCTTTCATTGTAGAAAAAATATTTGTTTGTTTGGTTTAAGTTTTGTTGAGTCTGGGAGGACGAGGTACTATAAAACTCCATTATTATTTTTTTTGCATGACTTTGTCTTTGATAATCCTCCATTGCTTACCTTGGTGATCCAAGTCTTGACTCTGATATAATGTAAGTGAACATTTTTTTTAATTAATAGTGTCATTTATATGGTGAAGTCATCTTTATTGTTAATGGTTTATTTTATGTTTAGGGTGAAGAAGGAACATGAAACTGAAGATATTAAGTCATCTCGCCCAACAATCTCCTGACTTTTTTACTAGTGGGAAATTTTTTTTAATCTAAATGCTAAATTATTTGTGTTGACCTTATTTTTTATTCAAATGATCTAATCGATGCTTGTTTTTACTATAGCAAGGATTGTTTGAAGACAATCAAAGGGAAGAAAATAAAAAAATTGGACCATGGGGTATAAAAGATATTATGTTGATCTTTATTTTTTATTCCAATGATCTTATTAATGCTTGTTTCCACTTTACCAAGGACTATTTGTCTTCATCTCATGTTGTACAACCTTTCGCTACTCAATCATCAGGCCATGAAATAACTTGGCATTCAATGGAAGAATTTGAAATATGACGAGAAAGAAAAATATTTAGAGATGACAAAGTCGTCAAAAGAAGAGTATTATAGTCACAAAGAGAACTCTAACAAAAAAGAAAAGGTTCAAAACCATAATATTAAATGGTTTATCTATTTTTATCTGTTTTTTTTTCTTATTCAACTGTTTGAAATTACAGCTCGGAACAAGATGTTCTCTCCGGAAATGATTGTGAAAGTAATACAAAGGTTAAGTGAAGCACAAAAAAAGGCCGTTGAAAATATTGGATTTGGAGGCTTGTTACGGCTCAAATATAAATGTTTGAAATTGTTTTGCTATAATGGTTTCTCTCTGTGTAGTTGTTACATCCTGTTGATTTTCTGCATTTTGGCAGGGTTTGTGCCATTAAACTCCTAGCTTTGGAGAAAATAGGAAGGCCAGTCTACAGGATCTTGCTGTTCTTACGGGAGGCCAAGTGGATCCATTGTTGGATTAATGTACTAGAATATTCTATTCGTTGTTTAACACTTTATATGATGGGTTTCACTTCTGAATTACAGCTTATAACTAAGGAACTTGGTATGAACCTTTAATAATGTGGAGTTGGCTATGCTTGGCATCTGTAAAAAGGTTAGCTGTAAAGGCATGCATTTTCCTCACTGGATTTGTCTCCGATGTGCTGGTGTGATATTGTTTCAATGATAAATACATGTTTGTTCAAAATCTACTGGAATGTAGATGCTTCACACCAGTTTTTTCTCATCAGATAGTATTGTTTGACAATGTTCTTGTCCTAGGCCACAATATCCAAGGATGGCACTATTGTTCTTGATGGTGTTGCTGATAAGAAGGCCTTACAGGAAAGATGTGAACAGGTTTGTTTTGCTTTCTTATGAACATTCACCATTGGCCTAATGGTTACCGTATCCCCATATACATACTGTTCAAAAAAAAAGTCAATTTTTGCAAGCATTCTTGATTAGTTGACTATGATTGATTCATAGGCATTTCACAAACTGAATCTAGTTGCACGTCTTCACTTCGTGACTTGATTTGTACCAGGTAATTTTGGTTTAAATGTATTGTCCTGCATAATCTTGTGAATTAGCAGATAGGAAATGAGTTCTTTGGATGTAGGTGGTGGTGTTGCCATTCTATATGCATCAAAAGAATTGGAAAAGCTGCCAACAACCAACTTTGATCAGAAGATAGGTGTTTAAATTATTCAGAATGCCCAAAAGGTTTGAAATTCACTCTAGAACTAGCATATTAAAGTGCTCGTAGTTTGTCGAAATCTGAACACACTTTTGGATTCTTAGTGCCTCAATGATTGTGTTGCATAATTGTGAAAATCTCCCCTAGCACTCATATCTCTTGTATTTTGTAATTGCAGACACCAATTCATACAATTGCCTCCAATGCCGGCGTAGAGGGGGCTGTTGTTGTTGGCAAGCCGTTGGAGCAGGATGACCCTGATCACGGTTACGATGCAACCAAAGGTCTCTTCTGAATCATTATTATTTTTTTTCACAAAACAGAGTAAGCCATTGTTTTTGGTTTGTACTGAACTAGTCAACTCTATGTTTCTGTTCCTCAAACAGGTGAATATGTTGATATGGTTAAAACCGGAATAATCGACCCACTAAAAGTAATAAGAACATCCTTGGTTGATGCAGCAAGGTGAGTTGAAGCCACCGATTCAAATGTTTCTATTTCTTAACTAGGTTGTATATTTAGTATACATTCTGATCAGTATTCGAATCAGAGTGCATGCAGTGTGGCATCTCTAATGACAACCACCGAAGCTGTTGTGGTTGAAATATCGAAGGAAGCTCTAGCAATGGGTNTTCTATTTCTTAACTAGGTTGTATATTTAGTATACATTCTGATCAGTATTCGAATCACAGTGCATGCAGTGTGGCATCTCTAATGACAACCACTGAAGCTGTTGGGGTTGAAATATCGAAGGAAGCTCTAGCAATGGGTGGTGGCATGGATTATTGATGGTGCTGATCCAAACTCCTGACATACATTTTTAACCACACGAAATAAACATTAGGGTTTTACCCATTTGATGAGTTATTTGTGGGAGTGAAGGCATTGCAGGTAAAGATTTAAGTTTTGATGTAGGAGAAAAGAAGAGACTGTCAGTCATCCCTAAGTATTGAATTTTGTCTTTTCAGCATAATTGGAGATTTAACAATACCTCTTTTTTGCATGATTGGCAATTGAGTGACAGACAATTCATCTTTCCCTCTACCCGTTTGCAAACAATTCAATCTTTGTTTGATACGANATTTAAGTTTTGATGTAGGAGAAAAGAAGAGACTGTCAGTCATCCCTAAGTATTGAATTTTGTCTTTTCAGCATAATTGGAGATTTAACAATACCTCTTTTTTGCATGATTGGCAATTGAGTGACAGACAATTCATCCTTCCCTCTACCCGTTTGCAAACAATTCAATCTTTGTTTGATACGGTTCTCCTTTTTTTCTCCTCAAATAATAGAAAACAGTTTTAATCACATACATTAAGCCAACTAAAAGATTTGAATTTTGGAATATCGAGTTATTAACCATTGAAGTCTTGTTTCTTCGAATTCGTCTTTTCCCCAATCCCTGGACAGAGTGATGGTTGAAAATAATTTTTAGATTCAGACCCATTTGAGGATGAATATAAATTATTTATTCTTATTCTCATTGTTTCAAAATTGTGACATCTTTCCCATTGTGTCCCATTGTTCCATTTTTTACTTAGGAAAGAACATTATCTAACCCTATGCCGATAAATAAACACCGTAAAAGCCCTTTTACATGAATTGGGTTGATTGAAAAATTGCTACTTTCATCCAAAATTACCAACTTGTGTGGTTGATGCATCTAAACTCTGAGATAAGACTGANGCCGATAAATAAACACCGTAAAAGCCCTTTTACATGAATTGGGTTGATTGAAAAATTCCTACTTTCATCAAAAATTACCAACTTGTGTGGTTGATGCATCTAAACTCTGAGATAGGACTGTTAATCTCGACTCGAACTCGGATACACAAGAATTCTATCTTGAATGGGATCCAAAATAAATAAGTAATAGATAGTCTTACCTCTATTTTTAGGAGGTGGATTCCTGATAGGTAATCAATGATATGATCCTAATAAATTTTAGTGACCCATTCATGCCTATTATACCAACTATATTAGCAAGAGAATTTCCACCAACAGTAATTATAGAAAACATAAGTACCCAAGATGAATCATAAAGGTGAAATGAAGAGATGCATCAACCGAACACATTCCAGTTATTTACACGAGGCATTCTTCGGAAAACATAGAACATGATGCCACTGTTGAGTGATTCTTAACATCCATAAAGCATTGGTTCCAGAAACTGAAGCCTACCATTATTTGCTCTTCCGACGGTTCTTTACTCCAACACAATCTGAACAATACCACTTTCCCTTGGGCAGTTCTTTCAGACCAGCGCAGCCATAATGGAACTATTCTATCTTGCACTGTTGAAAAAGACTAGATGTTTTCCTTAGATCACAGGGTTAGTATAATCAACTGATCGAAAATAATGAAAGAACATAAATGCATACATCAGGATTGTCGCAGGCAACCATCTCTCCATAGCTCACTTGGTTGCAGAAACAGTAAGTCGGTTCATTTGGATCTACTGGTATGTCTAAATCCATAACATCTGGATTTGAAACTGCCGCTGCTGTAGCAAGGCGTGTCCTGTAGCAGAAATATAACTTATTTTTGACATCAATCCTATTATGGTCTTTAACCAACGAAAAATGTTTCTCCAATTACACAAACTATGCCCAGGTAAAATATATGTAAAACTAATAATAATAGCAATGATAAATAAAAAAGACCCCAAAGAAAATAAGGAACCTTTTTTCACAGACGAAAGAAAACACTCAAAAGGACAATTGAAGAGTCCTTCAAGGAGTGACAACCGGCCAAACTTGAATGAAAGGAAAAGAGAGAATGAAAGGGATGTTTGGGTGGGTGGGGGAAATTAGGTAAACAATCACCCACCCGACCCTCTGCGGAAACTTTTGAAGAGTAACAGTGCTACCAAATCTGAAATTTTTACTTGAATTTAAGGAATAAATTAAGGTTCTGATTTACCCAAAAGTTATTATGATGTTTAATATGTGTATGATCCTCAAATCAATAAATTCTTGAGTGTAAACCTCATTTGTCGTCCAGACAAAAATGTACCTAGTTAACAAACAAATTAAGATTCTGAATATCAATTCCAACAATTGATAAGTTTTGAAGTATGAGAAAAATGAAATAAAATTTGAAATAAAAAAAAACAGAGAATCATATCAATAATCAGTTAAATATAAAAATGAATGAAATTAGATTCATGGGTATGATTTGAGAACATTTGATAGCTATCTAAATTTGGCGATACCAATATCCTGAAAAAAAAAAAAAGGTTAATTATTCTAATCTCATGTTCAGCCACACACATAGAATTTTGATCAACTAGACGGTGATGTGTGTGTGTACATGCATGTATGATAGACACAAGAAGAAAGAAAGAAAAATTTCATGCACATACACAATGTTTGAACTTTGAAGGAATCACTCATTTACCCTTTTATAACCCAAACAATTATCAGATAAAATAAATGAAAATTTCTCTATATTTTTCTGTTCTTTTCCGCAGTTTTCCCAGCCACCAAACAGAGCACAGAAGAACATATCGAAAAAGGTTCGACTCTGAGCAATGCAGCACAAAAACATGGAAAGAAAAGATGTTTTAAAGTTTCAAAGCTCTAAAATTCAATGCAAAAACCGAAAGATACAAAAAAAATAAGTTTTGATTGAAATGATACGTACTTTAAACACTCCAAGAGTCGCTTGGCTCCCTCAGATAAACTGTGCAGAGAGAGATACAATAGAGATAGAGATAAAGAGTGAAGCGGGAGAGAGAGAAGGTGACAGTGACGAAGACGAAGGAAGCGTTTATATGTGTGTTGAAAATAAGGAAGAAGGAAGACGAAGCCGACATGGAAAATTATGGGTCGTCAGATGGAATAATTGAATATTGATTTGAAGAATTGAACGTTAGTTTGGTGTAAATTGGATGAATTGTGTATTAATTGGATGAAATTGTATGTTACTTTGATGTTGATTTGATAAATTGAATATTTATTGGATGTTAATTTTGGATGTTAGTTTGATGAATTATAATATCAAAAGATTACCTANATGGAAAATTATGGGTCGTCAGATGGAATAATTGAATATTGATTTGAAGAATTGAACATTGATTTGAAGAATTGAACGTTAGTTTGGTATAAATTGGATGAATTGAGTATTAATTGGATGAAATTGTATGGTACTTTGACGTTGAATTGATAAATTGAATATTTATTGGATGTTAATTTTGGATGTTAATTTGATGAATTATAATATTAAACGATTACCTATAAAATATAACAATGTTTATTTATCCAATTATTTATTTATTTATTCATTTATTTTGGACGTCCACGATAACCTTATTTCTACCTTGTTCTCACTTTTTTTTTGTCTTTCCCGCCTTTTTCTTCTTTTTCTGCCCAAATCACTTCTTTTATCTTCCCTCCATTCCTTTATTGATACATATAACTTGTTTGAAAATAAAAAATATTTTGTAATGTACAGTATTTTTTTGAAAAAAATTTGGGCGNTTAAACGATTACCTCTAAAATATAACAATGTTTATTTATCCAATTATTTATTTATTTATTCATTTATTTTGGACGTCCACGATAACCTTATTTCTACCTTGTTCTCACCTTTTTTTGTCTTTCCCGCCTTTTTCTTCTTTTCCTGCTCAAATCACTTCTTTTATTTTTCCTCTATTTCTTTATTGATACATATAACTTGTTTGAAAATAAAAAATATTTTGTGATGTAAAGTATATTTTTGAAAAAAATTTGAGCAGGATGTTTCCTTAAGAAACAGTTGAATTTTTTGAAAAAATTCAATTCCCACTTTTATTGGATCCAACATCCACATCCATGGCAACTCCAAAAGGGTGTAAATCAACACAAAATACTACAATTAAAGTAACATTCAATTTCATCTAATTAATATTTAATTCATCAAATTAATAAAAAATAAATATTTAATTCATCCAATTAATATTCAATTTATCAAATTAACACTAAATCGACATTAAATTCATTCAATTAACACTCAATTTATCAAAATTTCTAAAATCATCCAATAAAAATTCAATTTATCAAATCAACACCAAAGTAATATANCCACTTTTATTGGATCCAACATCCACATCCATGGCAACTCCAAAAGGGTGTAAATCAACACAAAATACTACAATTAAAGTAACATTCAATTTCATCTAATTAATATTTAATTCATCAAATTAATAAAAAATTAATATTTAATTCATCCAATTAATATTCAATTTATCAAATTAACACTAAATCGACATTAAATTCATCCAATTAACACTCAATTTATCAAAATTTCTAAAATCATCCAATAAAAATTCAAGTTATCAAATCAACACCAAAGTAATATGAAAATTAATCAAATAAATATTTAATTCATTAACTCAACGCTAAATTAACATTACATTTCATCTAATAAATATTCAATTAATAAAATTAACATTTAAATTCAACTATTAACATTTAATTCATCCAATACATATTCATTCGTCAAATTAACACCAAATTTATGTTCAATCGATGAAATCAATACCAAATATATATTCAATTCATACAATTTATATTAATTTGGTGTTAGTTTGATGAATTGAATGTTAATTTGGTATTGATTTGATGAACTANTCAACTATTAACATTTAATTCATCCAATACATATTCATTCGTCAAATTAACACCAAATTTATGTTCAATCGATGAAATCAATACCAAATATATATTCAATTCATACAATTTATATTAATTTGGTGTTAGTTTGATGAATTGGATGTTAATTTGGTATTGATTTGATGAACTAAATATTAATTTGATGTTAATTTAATGAATTGAATGTTTATTATACGAAACAAAATGTTAATTTGTTGAATTGAATGTTAATTTGATGAATTAAATATTTATTCGATAAATTTATATATTACATTGGTGTGGGTTTGATAAATTGAATTTTATTAGATGATTTTTGATGTTAATTTGATGAATTGAGTANTTTTGGATGTTAATTTGATGAATTGAGTGTTAATTGGATGATTTTGAATATAAATTGAATGAATGGAATGTTAATTTAGTATTAATTTAATGAATTGAATATTTATTTGATAAAATTGAATGTTAAGTTAATTTGATGAATTAATTATTAATTAGATGAAATTGAATCTTAATTTGATGAATTTAATTTTAAATAGTTAATTTAAATGTTAATTTAATGAATTGAATATTTATTATACGAAATGGAATGTTAATTTGGTGTTAATTTGACAAATTACATATTTATTCGATGACNTTAATTTAAATGTTAATTTAATGAATTGAATATTTATTATACGAAATGGAATGTTAATTTGGTGTTAATTTGACAAATTACATATTTATTCAATGAATTTTTATATTACATTGGTGTTAGTTTGATAAATTGAATTTTTATTAGATGATTTTGGATGTTAATTTGATAAATTTAGCGTAAATTGGATGAATTTGAATATATATTTGATGAATTGAATGTTAATTGAGTATTAATTTGATAAATTAAGTCTCCAACGCCTCACCTACAGACAAGCAAACACTAGGACGGTGAGGAGAGAGATCGTTAGAAATGGTGACTTCCAAGTTTCATCAGTACTAGGTGGTGGGAAGAGCCCTCCCATCGAAGACCGATGAGCATCCCAAGATCTACAGCATGAAGCTCTGGGCAACCAACGAAGTCCGTGCCAAGTCCAAGTTCTGGTGCTTTCTGAGGAAGCTGAAGAAGGTAAAGAAGAGCAATGGCCAAATGCTTGCTATCAATGAGATTTTTGAGAAAAATCCGACGACGGTCAAGAACTATGGTATCTGGTTGAGGTACCAGAGTAGAACCGGTTATCACAACATGTACAAAGAGTACCGTGATACCACTTTGAATGGTGCTGTTGAGCAGATGTACACTGAGATGGCTTCTCGCCACAGGGTCCGTTCTCACTGCATACAGATTTGTCGAATTGAATGTTAATTTGATGTTAATTTGACGAATTACATATTTATTCCACGAATTTTTATATTACATTGGTGTTGGTTTGATAAATTGAATTTTTATTAGATGATTTTGGATGTTAATTTGATAAATTGAGCGTAAATTGGATGAATTTGAATATATATT